GAGCCGCTCGCCGGATTCTTTTCCTGCCGGCCCCAGTTGCAGCACCCGCGGCCAGAAGGAGATCTTTTAGATCCGATCGCCGATCTCCCAGTCCCGCCAACAGCCCCGCGGGCGCTCGGGCCCGCCGGCGTCCGGCAGCGGAGGCAGTAGCCCCCGCGGGTCCGGGCAGAAGCGGGTGCGGCGAAGGAGACGCAGGAAGGTTTTAAGGACAACGTGGAAAAGGAGGGCTGGGTGTGGCGGCCAAGGAAGGCGGGCGCGCCTCGGAACGAGGGGAAGCGAGGCAAGGCGAAGCGAAGGTGGGCGGGCGACCATCGGTCTCCCGGGACCTCAGTGCCGCTAGAGCGGTTACACCTATGCGCGAGTTGGCGGAGAATCCCGCAGGCGAGGCTTCCGTCCACCAGCCCGGCCGGCTTACGAAACCGCGGATCGTGCCCCGGGCGCCGCCTCCCCGGGTCCCCTCTATGTGAGCCTCTTCAGTTGCCTTCACCTCCTCCTGCTGGATGGCGATTGACCGGCGACGAGAGGAGGGGGGCGGGGGGGGCCGGCCCCTCCCCGAGGAAAACGGTTCTTTGCCTGCCGGGGAGGCGGACCCTGCCACTGCAGCTACAGCCGCACCCCCTGCAGGGGGTCTGGCGGCGGAGATCCAGAGCCTGCCTCTTCCGACGCCTCCCTCCGGGTCCTGCAGCCCCCTCCTTCTGGATTACGATGGCTCCGTGCTGCCCTTCCTGGGGGGCCTGGGGGGCGGGCACCAGAAAACCCTCATCCTCCTCACCTGGATCCCTGCACTCTTCATTGGCTTCAGCCAGTTCTCGGACAGTTTCCTCTTGGTACAGCCCGTCTCTTGGTGCAAGGGGATGGATGGGCAGAGCAATTGGACGGGACTCCCCCCACAGCCTGCCAGGGGCCTCACCACCAGCCCCAGCTACAACCACAGCAGCAGCAACAGCTATAGTAGGGGGATGCTGGCAGCCCCAGAGCTGCCCACTCCAGAGGGAAAGAACGACAGTTACTGCCACTGCAGCGAGAGGTTCCATCGGATTCCGGCAGGCCTTCAGGAGAACATTGTGAGCAAGGTAAGAGGCATGGAGGTAGGAGAGGGCCTGATGCAGGGTGGGAAGTGGCCTTGGCTCCTCTAGGTCAGTTATGGGTCACTGGGACTGTCAGCCCCTTTCCAGCCCCTTTCCAGCAGGAAGGGTGGCCAGTCCTCCTACTTGTATCCCTTGTATGTGGGGTGGGGGGAAGAGTGGACCTTGCAACTTCTCATAAAGTTCTCTGCAGTCCACATAGCTGCAGCGGGCAAATGAATGAGATCATGTAGTTTCCGTTCTTGAGTGCAGTTCTTGAGTGAGGTCCTCCAAGTGTGGCTTCCCTGGTGGTGCAAGACTCAACGTATGCCCGTGCTTGAAAAGATTTCATGGCCGCACTGCAGGAAGGGAGGCAGCAAGATCTGGCAGAGGAGCAGGGCAATGCATTTCTAATGCCTCTGCACGGACAGGGATGTGCCATTATGTGTGGAATGGCCATCACGGGAAATCGCTTTAGCAACATCTGTGTGGCCACTCTGGCATGTCTGAAGTAGATGATGAGTGGGTTAACATAAGCTGTTGAACCACAAACCAGGCAACCACATTTTCACCTAATGTGTTGTGTGAATCCAGCCCATGGTTGGATGTCAGGTGAACCCAGAAAATTGAGTTAATGGAATCACTGTGGCTAAATTAATGATGATAATTGAACTGTACAAAGGCAGCCTATTTGTATGGGAGTGAGGATCATGAGCTGTAGTATTTTTTCAGCTGCTTCTCAACCCAGTTGACATGAACCCAGTAAAGAATGTTTGTTCATTTTGGATGGCTTATTCTAGGAGAACTTCTGTTGGTTGTAAGTGTTCAGATTGTATTCCTATAACACCTTTCCTTTTTCAGGGATCAGTCAGTTGAGTGTTGCCTTGTGAGGACATCTTCCTAGGGGTGTCCTCTGCTGTAAAAGGATCTCTCTCTGACTAAAGTGAAAGGATCTCTCTCTGTTACCTTAAATTCTTTGAATACTTTAAGTCTGTGAGATATACACACCTGTTTTCACAGTCCTTTTATGACTGATCCAGTTTTAGATTTTAACACAAGGCACAAAACAAGTACTTGTTCTTCCTTTCTTGGCAGAATCAATAATACATTTCTCTTTAAGTGAATGCTTGTTCCTATGATAAGGAGGTCCTTTTTTAATGCTGCTGTGGAACAATTGGGCCAAGCCATAAACAAGGTTTTGGAATCTCAGTGACAATATTCAGACAAACCAAATGACCTACATTACAGCACAGTGCAGTGCCTGGCTCCAACTTGTAGACAAGGATTCCAGTGCATGCATTTCTCACTTAGGAATTTTGCCTGTCGCGCTTCATAAGCACCTTTCTCATGTGATGGTGGTATATTTCTCAGTGAGAAGCAGGTTGGCACAAGTCAAACTTAAAACACAAGGGGAATAACAGAACTGCTAGCTTAAGAGTGCAAGTTCTAAGCCTGCATTTATGAGGGAGTGAAAGTGTCATTGAATGGGCTGGCACGCTCACACAGTGCACTAATTCTTAAAGTGGTTTGTTTGGTTATTGTGACCTAGTTATTGACATGAATTTATGATTAGCCAGTTGTTGCTAATTTAACAAATCATGGTTAAAGCCAAATACAACAACATGATTGAACCTAGTCAATATAGGTAGCCAGTTAGAGATATATTGACTATTTCTGTACAGATAAAAGGAATGAAGATTTTTGCATAAGTCACCAAGAAAATATATTGCAAATTACAGCAAAACAATTTCAGTATAACCTCTGATGTGAATGAAGGGGTACTAGAGCTATGTAGGATGAAACTCTAGGTTGGAATATTCCCGTGAGTAATATTTGGTTTAGATGAGTGCTGTCAAGAATTGCCCTCCAAGTGGTATTAAGAAATCAAGACCTGTTTCTCCAACATTTTTGGAATAGCTAGCTACTAAATTTATTTGGGGCTTTTTAGCGCTATGTTATACAGAAGGGTGGGAATCACAAACAGGACTGGTGCTATTAAGGCTGGAATTACTGTATAATGTTTTGCTGCAGGAGCCCATTCTCAGTTTTTAGAATGTATTCCTCACTTGCTCCCTTTAACGGGTGTTTTGCTTTTCTTGGGAAAGAGATGGGTATTTTGTATCTTCTCTAGCCTCACAATCTAAATTGAGTCAGATCTGCTCAGTATTTGGAGGGGGAATTAACCAGGGAATCCCAAAGCTGTAGGTTAGAGTAGGAAGTAAAAAAAAAAAATCCAGAAAAAGGAAGTGGCAAACCACTTCCATATTGTTGCTAAGAAAGCTGCATGAAGGTATCCATGAAATCACCAGGAGTAGAATTCAAGTCAAGAGCCTGTCTTTCCAGCATGACTTGAATAAACAACTTACATTGTAAAATGAAACTGTTCATCATGATTGTGGTTCCCTTAATCCCAAACCACCAAAGCTCAGCAAAATTTACTCCTTCTGGGAACCGTGTTAGAATTAACTGTTCTGTGGTTCAGGCATGCACTAATCAAGTGACTGCATTCTTCAGACTGAAAAGCCAAGAAGATTTGAAAACCTTCTTGTGAAATAGAAGTTAAACAACAAAAAAAGTGAGAAGAAAAATTAGGCTGCATTACTGAGTGGCTGACAGAAAGGGGTTTTACAATATGGTTTTATTTCATGCAGAGGCATGGTACACTGTTTTTCTTGTAATGTTCTTCACTGTAACCCAGATTTAATTAAAGATCTCATTTTGATCCGCTGCCTTCCTGAGTGTGAATTCACATAGGAAAGTGTGTTCTTGTCTACTCACCAGATGCACACAGCCAAATATTAGTGGGCCAGTCCAAATCCAATGTGCAATTCCTTTTGAAAGACTCAAATTGGTAACTAGCCAATTAGTGGTGATACAGTGGCATAATCTATATTTTGCATGCAGAAAATCCCAGGTTCCATTTTTAGTATCTCTTGAAAACAAGTGCTGTGAAAATCCTCTGCTTTAGATCCAGTGCGTTGTTGCTAATCAGAGCAAATCAGCTTTCCCCAACTGATAGCCTCCGGGAGCATTGTGCAAATAGGTTCCAGCCCTACTAGGCTGCGTGCCAGCTGTGGATAATGAGTGCTGCAATCCCACAGCGGTGGGATGCCCATTACATCATTCACCAATATGTTTTTGGATGCCGCTGTCATACCTGGTCATTGGTGTGGGGCTAATAAGAGGTAACTGGGGATGGCTCTTTCGTGGGGACAATGTTTGTGGAAAGCCTGCCTGCTTGATCTAGGAGCTTTACTACACCTTACCCCTAAATGATCGGTAATGGTGAGATGCTGATTTTTGTCACCATGGAAAAACCCAGCTGTTGTGGATTGTTCAACAAATCATGGTTAAACAAACCATGGCATTGCACATTGTGTGGACCCATTCATTTTATTCCTGTTCTTCCTGGTTTCTGCTAGGGCTGAGTTCTGACAATGAACCCATTGTCAGATTAAGCTGTCAGTTATAGCAATTAGGACTTGAACCTGATAATATAGAACCTGGGTTCCTTTATACAACTCAAACAAATGTACTGGAAAAAGTAGCTGATAACATAACTCAGAGCTGCCAGTGAGTGTATTTAATCACAGATCTGGGTTGAAGTCTTGACTCTGATCATAATTCAGAGCTTGTAATGTTGTGCTTCAGTAAATCTTTTTCCTCTAGATTTATCTATCTGAATTCCTTTAGAGAACTTTCTAATTGCCTTTACAATGGCTGTTAAAGCTTCATCTGATCCCCAACTAGTACTACAATGCTTATTAGGCATTGATGGTCCTGGGTGTCCAGGTAGGGGGAAAAACTCTGAAACACTACTGTGCATTAGTGGTAGAGTTTTGATGCTACTAATTAGTTATTTCTGCATATTGTTATTTATTCTGGAGAGAAATAAAGCTACTTAATTGCAAAAAGTTAATAATATTTATCAATGAACATTGCTTTATTGTATTTTAATCAGTATTTTAACCAGTATTTATTTTTGTTTTTACTGTAAACCACCCAGTTGCTCATTGAGTGAGGTGGACAGTGACTAAATTTGAGATATATTAATCAGTATTTTAACCAGTATTTATTTTTGTTTTTACTGTAAACCACCCAGTTGCTCATTGAGTGAGGTGGACAGTGACTAAATTTGAGATATATTAATCAGTATTTTAACCAGTATTTATTTTTGTTTTTACTGTAAACCACCCAGTTGCTCATTGAGTGAGGTGGACAGTGACTAAATTTGAGATATAAATAAATAAATAAATAACCTCTAGCTCTTCCACTTCTTGAACTCAAATATCTAATGGACCAAGGCTGTAATTCTTAGATGTAGCTTTCTCAACCTCCAGGTTGATTGGACTATGCATTTTATCATAGCTAGCAGGCACAGTAATTGGGTGCACTGGCTGGGATGTTGGGTGTTGGAGGACACCTGCTTGGGTGAATGAATGAATGAATGAATTCTTGTTGCTCTAAATGGGATTTTGCTTCTGAACAAACAATTGTAGATAGTGATAGAGTTTCATTGTTACATTCACTGTTTACTAAACCGTGACTTAGTGCAGCATGTGAACCCAGTCCCAATGATCTCGTTCATACATGGCTTAACCATGAGTTTTGGAGAAATCCACAATTCATTGTGTTCCTACTGCTAAAGCAGAAGCATCGATCATACACATGTTCAGCTGAAACCAAACAAATCACATTTTAGCTTGGTGTGGTATGTAACACCAACCACTGTACATCTTTACACCATCTCAGAAGCTTCCTAGATTTTCAAATTAATGTTAATTCAGGATTTAATTTAATGGCTTTTCCTTTTCCAGAGGGAAAGTGCTATGTATCACTTAGCACTTTGAAGTGCTATGTATCACTTACCTTATGAAAGGCCATTGTGGCATTCTTGAACTAAGGACATTTTTGTAGTGCAGCTCCTTTCCTTACATGTAGGACATCCGAGAAACGCCAGAATATGTGGAAGGAGATAAGGCCAGAATCAAAAAAGTTTGTTTGAGGGT